CCGAAAAGGTGTTGTTCTGCCGGGCAGGGCCGGGGGATCTGAGTCACCGGGAAGAAATGAGTTGAGATTCGTTTAAACACCTATGTCAGCTGATACCTCTCCCGGTGTCATCACTGCCAGACGTTGCTCATTGACTATTAAAAACCATATTTAAAGGGGAATTCGGCCCAAAGCGCCTACTCCCCTGTTACATAATGGAAAACTCGAGAAAATGGAACGTTGGGGAATGAGAAAGGAATCTTTGGAACTTGGGCCACCAGAAATTTCTGAGGAGGAAAAAATGTTTGCTACCCTGGATTGAGCCCAATGTTTGCAAATTTCCATATAAATCATTAAAATGGGAGGCCTAGGAAGGGGGCCTCTAGCCATCACCTGCTCCTTCATTTAGTCAGTTTCTGCTCCTCGTTATATGCAAAAGAGATGATTTAGATCATGATATTTACGAATGAGAAAAATGCACGCCATTGAGCAAGTCCACTCTGCACACTACAGAATGGTGTATTCTTGCTCATTATTCCTGCCAAGAAATTAGGGGTTTGTCTCACGAAAGGGATGGTCAGCGATGAAGTGATAGAAGGACAGGTGGTAGGGTTAGGGGGACCATATAAATTACTATCCAAATTGGGGTGCTTTTGAGAGTGAAAGGAGCACCAAAATTAAGCCTTGTCAAGGGACATAAACCAGCACTATCCTAGGAAAAGAATGGGACATCTAGTCCCCTCCTTAAGGGCAAAAGTTTCCAAAACAGGACTTGGATTAAATACTTGTATCCCAGGGCCATCACCCACCTAGGAGGCAATAAGTGGTGAGGGTAGGGAGAAGCCAGGAGAACTGTACTGAGTGGAGTGCTGTGAAACAGCTGAGGGTGACATTGACATGAGTGTGGGTGGGGCCCTGAAAGATCTGCTGGGAAGGGGAAATGAATGGTCTGGAAGATGTGGCCACTGGAGGGAGATCATTCAGTAACAGAGAACTGGATTTTGGCCAGTTAGAAATGAGCGTTGGGTAGCAATGCCAGCCTGTTTTCTATCCATCAGTCTTATGTAATGACTAGAGGCCCGATGCACTAAATTTGTGCAAGAATAGGCCTTCCTTCCCCCGGCTGCTGGCACTGGCTTCCCTCCAGCACCCAAGACCCGGGCTTCCCTCCCAACCCTGGCTTCATCTGGAAGGAAGGACTTCCATCTGGTCTAATTAGCATATTATGCTTTTATTATTATAGACTAGAAGCCCGGTGCACGAAATTCATGCATGCGTAGGGTCCCTAGGCCTGGCTGGCGATCAGGGCTATTAGGGGCCTTGCCACTGCTGGCTGGAGCCTTCCTTTGTTCCATGCTACCCCCTGGTGGTCAGGACTCATCATAGTGAGCAACTGAACTCCCAGTCTCCTGGTCAAACTCCTGAGGGGACACTTTGCATATTAGCCTTTTATATATATAGACTAGAGGCCCGGTGCATGAAATTTGTGCAGGGGGGGGTGTCCCTCAGCCCAGCCTGCACCCTCTCCAATCTGGGACCCCTCGGGGGATGTCCAATTGCCGGTTTAGGCCCACAGGGATCGGGCCTAAACCAGCAGTCGGACATCCCTCTCACAATCCGGGACTGCTGGCTCCCAACCGCTCGCCTGCCTGCCTGCCTGATTGCCCCTAACTGCTTCTGCCTGATCCCCCCCTAACCCAGCCGTGGGCAAACTACAGCCCGTGGGCCGGATCCGGCCCGTTTGAAATGAATAAAACTAAAAAAAAAAAAAAAGACCATACCCTTTTATGTAATGATGTTTACTTTGAATTTATATTAGTTCACACAAACACTCCATCCATGCTTTTGTTCAGGCCCTCCAGTCCAGTTTAAGAACCCATTGTGGCCCTCGAGTCAAAAAGTTTGCCCACCCCTGCCCTAACCACTCCCCTGCCAGCCTGATCGATGCCTAACTGCTCCCCTGCTGACCTGATCACCCACAACTGCCCTCCCCTGCCGGCTATCTTGTGGCGGCCATCTTGCGACCACATCGGAGCCGTCATCTTGTGCAAGGGCATGACGGTCAATTTGCATATTACCTCTTTATTATATAGGATTATGTTGACAGTACTTATAGAGCCTTACCTTCTTTCCTCAGAGATGGCTTATTGGGGAGGTGAAATGGGGCAGTGTAGCATCTCTGAGTCTGGGGCTGGAGTGGGTGACCAGATCAGATTAGGTAAGAGGCTGGCTTCCCCCTGCCACGCGGGACTCTGGAAAGCTTGGTTAGAAGATGCTTGAACTCAGCTTTTTGTCACAGGAATCCTACATCTACTGGCTGAAGGCTCTGCTTCCTTCTCTCCCACCAGGAAAAGGCTCAAAAAGCAGAGAGGATTTTAAAA